TTTCAAATAATTATCGTTACCGTTATTTTTGGGGAAAAATTAATGTGATTCGTCAAAATCTGTCTATTTTTTTATCGTCTTGAAGAAAGTATTTTATCGTCATGCACCAAAAATTATCGTTAACGTCATTTGGCAGGATTTTTTACCGTTATTCGTCATGAAGGTACCCCCATTACCACCCTCATTTTAACTTTCACTTTATAATGTCACATGACCAACATTATGGGAACTGATTTATGCAAATGACCCTTATTCCATAGGAAAACATAATCTATATAAAACGAGCCTCAATTAGTTGATTTTTCTCTTCATTAAAGTAAGTTTAATCGACCTGCCACCCGCTATTTTCTCATATTTGGACAGTTTTCACATCGACACATCAACACTGGCATTTTTTTTTAACTTTAAGAGATTGTGACATGACCAACAGAAAAAGTAATTTACAATGCATTACATGTATGAGAGCTGATTTATGAAAATGACCCTTATTCAATAGGAAAACATAATCTAACACCTTGTTCATTTATGATGCAAATAAGCTGAATGGCCGAGTGTGTTCAATTTGAAAATAAAGAGTTAAAATGCCGGAATCGCGAAAACAGATGTTGGACACCAGAGTTATCTTGGACTATGAGTATGAGTTTTGGGCAATTTATAATTACGGGGGGGGGGGGGGGGGGGGGGGGGGGGAGGGGGAGGGAGGGTTCAAGGGAAGCAAATGCTCTTTAAATTATGCATGTTTCAAAAATTGGGGAAAAATTACACAGAGAGTTGAGTCATTTTTTTTTCAGACTTAATTCAAATAATGACTAATGTAGAATTACCTTCTAATTCTATAAAAAAAATTCACAACTACTGAACAGGAACAATCATGGTACTTTTTTACCTATGAAACTACACTATGACATCTGTCGATGATCTGATCTGCAAAACCTACAAACAGAAATATCATCAAATAGTGAAATAAAAGATTGATTGCACCTTGTATGGATAGTTCCGACACGTGTTACATGGGGAGCCCGTTTGTTTACAAATAATAATGTCACGTGATCACGCACTGACCGTCACAAATTTGTATCACACAATATTACTGTACTTACACAATTCACAAATGCATAACCCATTTATCTTGCGGACATGCAATGGGAATGTGCACGGTTATCAATCAAAGCACGAAAGCGCTGTAAAGGCAGTTAATTACAGGTTGTGTGTATTTTAAGTCCAGTTATATCATTATCTTGCATAGTACAGTGTACTTATCAGAGGTGGCTTTCAGTATTTAAGATTTAGAGTTCTCTTATGATATTGAATAAGTTTTATGAATGTCATATTCTGAGCACTATATGAAGGCGATTGTTCTCACTTGTTTATGAACTAGTGCATTATGTCCAGTTTGTACCTTTTTTTTATCTATGTTTATAGTCAAATTAGTTATCAAAGGTACCAGGATTATAATTTAATACGCCAGACGTGTGTTTCGTCTACATAAGACTCATCAGTGACGTTCAGATCAAAATAGTAATAAAGCCAAACAAGTACAAAGTTGAAGAGCATTGAGGACCCAAAATTCCAAAAAGTTGTGCCAAATATGGCTAAGGTAATCTATTCCTTGGATAAGAAAATCCTTAGTTTTTTCATTGGCAATCATAACACATCTCCTTATTTATATAATGATCTATATTCAACGACCTCAGGTACAAAAAAAATGTATGTAACTAAACTATGATGGGAAACCTTTGACTTCTTTCTTTATATAAACTTTTGATTTGGTACCATAGAACTATGTAGAGTAAATGTACATTGCAACATGTCAACTCCAAGCAAAATTATATTTCCAAGCATAAAGTAATTTATGAATGAAATAAAATGCTCCGCTGGGGTGCAGCTTGATATGACCGCAGAGGTCGAACCCTGAACAGTTGGGGCAAGTATGAACACAACATTCAAGCTTGATTCAGCACTGAATTTGGATTGTAATTAAATATTTGACACAGAATAGGTTTCTGATACAGAATGAAAGTGGTCTAAGATACTTAAAAAAATTTAATTTACCTATTCAAACCATATCATTATTATTTGCTTTTATATATAAATCAGAAATAACCAATTTAAAATGGAAAATTTTAAAGAAAAAAAAGGAAAAAGAATCCCCCCCCCCAAATTTTTTGAACCCCCTTATGATTCATCACCCCAAAACTCAATCCCAGCCTTCCCTTTGTGGTATGGTACCTTGCAGTACAATTTCAGAGAGATCCAAACACTTGAACACATGTTATTGTCTGGAAACTAGAAAAATGCTTGTTTTTTGGCCCCTTTTTGGTCCCAAATTCCTAAACGTTTAGGGCAATTACCCCCAAACTCAAACCCAGCTTTCCCTTTGTGATATGAAACCTTGTAGTACAATTTCATAAAGATCCATACACTTACACACAAGTTATTGCCATGAAACTAGAAAAATGCATGTTTTTTGCCCCTTTTTGGCCCCTAATTCCTAAAATTTTGAGGCAATTACCCCCAAAATCAATCCCAGCATTCCCTTTGTGATATGGAACCATGTGATACAATGTCAGAGAGATCCATAGACTTACACACAAGTTATTGTCATGAAACTAGAAAAATGCTTGTTTTTTGCCCCTTTTTGGCCCCTAATTCCTAAAATTTGGAGGCAATTACCCCAAAAATCAATCCCAGCATTCCCTTTGTGGTATGGTACCTTGCAGTACAATTTCAGAGAGATCCATACACTTGAACACAAGTTATTGTCTGGAAACTAGAAAAATGCTTATTTTTGGCCCCTTATTCCTAAACTTTTTGAGCAATTACCCCCAAACTCAATTCCAGCTTTCCCTTTATGATATGGAACCTTGTAGTACAATTTCATAAAGATCCATACACTTACACACAAGTTATTGCCATGAAACTAGAAAAATGCTTGTTTTTTGCCCCTTTTTGGCCCCTAATTCCTAAAATTTGGAGGCAATTACCCCTAAATTCAATCCCAGCATTCCCTTTGTGATATGGAACCTTGTGATACAATGTCAGAGAGATCCATAGACTTGCACACAAGTTATTGTCATGAAACTAGAAAAATGCTTGTTTTTTGCCCCTTTTTCCTAAAATTTGGAGGCAATTACCCCCAAAAATCAATCCCAGCATTCCCTTTGTGATATGGAACCTTGTGGTACAATGTCAGAGAGATCCATACACTTACACACAAGTTATGTCTGGAAGTTACATAAATGCTTATTTTTGGCCCCTAATTCCTTAACTGTTGGTACCATAACCCCCAAAATCAATCCCCACTTTCCTTTTGTGGTATTGAACCTTATTTTAAAATTTCATTGAGATCCATTCACTTAAACTAAAGTTAGAGTGCGAAAACTAATGTGTCTTCGGACGACGACGCCGGACGACGACGACGCCAACGTCATACCAATATACGACCACAAAATTTTTTTTGCGGTCGTATAAAAAGTTCTTAATTAAGAAATAAACTGATTCGCTGAGCGCAGCTGGATACACCCGCAGAGGTACTACCCTGAACAGCTGGGGCAAAAATGGACACAATATTCAAGCTTGATACAGGTCTGAATTTGGAATGTAATTAAATATTTGACATATTATAGTTTCTGAATAAATGTAGTCAATGAACTTGAAATCGGTTATATGAATTGAATTTATATTCAATTAAAGATTTCTTGCTGTTGTGCAATACACTGTGCTGTTGTGCAATACTTAATAAATCTGTTGCCAGACTATAAACAAATAAAGTTCAATTTCTTCTCAATGTCATATTTGAAATTTATGAAAATCAATAGGGAGATTACATCAATAGCTATAAATAATTCACCAAAGTTTCATGTGAACTGCTTAAAGCATTTTTGAGTTGTTGTCCAAAAACTGGAAAATCCCCCCTTTTTTAATGAATAAAACCCCATAACTCAGAAATGTAAAATCTAAAATTTATAAAATTCTAAAGGGAGCTTACGGATTGATAATTTAGTCTTAGATGCAAGATTTTTTTATCAGTTGTTAGTGGCTTTGAACTAGCTGTCAGTAACTGCGAGTACTCTCAGATTTGTACTTAGTGTCTTTTTGTTGTTTGGATGTACAACTACCCGACCATGTCCACTTGTATTTGTATTTATCCATCTGATGAGTTTAGCCTCTTTCAACTGATTTTTATAGTTCTTTCTTATATTGTACTGTTACACCACTGTCCCAGGTTAGGGGGAGGGTTGGGATCCCGCTAACATGTTTAAGCCCGCCATATTCTGTATGTACATGTATGTGCCTGTCCCAAGTCAGGAGCCTATAAAAGTGTAATTCAGTGGTTGTCGTTTGTTTATGTGTTGCATATTTGTTATATTTGTTCATTTTTTTTACATGTACATAAAATAGGCCGTTAGTTTTCTTGTTTGAATTCTTTTACATTGTCATTTCTGGGCCTTTGATAGCTGACTGTGCGGTATGGGCTTTGCTCATTGTTGAAGGCCGTACTGTGACCTATAGCTGTTAATTTCTGTGTCATTTGGTCTCTTGTGCATGTGTGGAGAGTTGTCTCATTGGCAATCATACCACATCTTCTTTTTTATATTTACATCAACAGATATAAAAAATTCACCAAAGTCAAGGTAAGACAACAAAACTTAGTTGTAAGATCTCTGAAATTTTTTACAGGGTACGAGTTTTTCTCATTGTTGGAGATTGTACGGTGACAGTAACACCTGTAACTGCTTAAACCCATTTCTTATGCACTTTAGTTTGATAAACTCACTGAATATCATACCACATCTCCTTATTTTTATATGCATTACAATTTACATGTGCATGTAATTGTAAATATATATATATCAGAACAAAATTCATTGCGTCACTTTTATTTATGCATCCTTTGGCACAATACAAGTTCTAAAATTACACAACATAAAACAACTAAATGTTATTTCAGATGAAAGTTTGATTCAGTTCCATTCATAGGATTTATTAGAATTTTAAGTCCAATAATTCGCTCTATGTGACATAGAGACATAGTTGACTAAACCATCAGGTGTCGAACATTCAAGAATTTTCAGTGTTTCTGTTTTTATTTGATGAAAAGGTTGCCTGAGCTCTAGGAGCTTTAGGTTTTATCACAGGATATTCTGTGCTGTCAATAATAATCCAAGTCGTAGGAAACTTTAATTTGAAGTTGGATGGTGAAAAATACCTGACTAAACCACTAGATGGCCAAGTGTTAGCCTCACACCACTGTTTAGACATAAAAACAATCCATGTATACACAATATTCTTAACACTAGATTCAATCTAGAATCTAGACAGTTCAAAGTTGGTTGTATGATGCCTCAATTTCATCAGTCATAAAAAAACTGATTTTCAACTGACACCCTATCAATTTGAAAATATATGTATCTCAAACAATGTGCTGCTGGACCAAGTGTGGTCAAAACAAATAAAAATTTAGTATACAACTCTAAACCGGTATAAAAATGCATGGCTGTGTCACGTATCTTCATTTCAAAATTCTCTGCTGAAAACATAGGCATTGATGGTGTTTGCGTAATTCCATCTGTGAAGCTCAACATTAGCTCGGCAGTTGGTGGTGGACAGTCATAAATCCTTTCTGCAGTATGAATGACTTCTTCAGGAAAACCAACTTTACAATCAAAACTTTCCTCTAGATTTCTACTACAATATTCATCAAGTTTATTTCTTTTGTTTTCACAGGAAACTGCCCTGATTTTTCTTTTTGCGGACGATTCAGCCTCTTGCTTGGTCCAGGAAAATAGGCTGGGAATTGCAGTAGACTTAAGTCTCTGTATGGTGGGTTTGCGCCCTGAAAAAGGTTATAAAACATTAGTTTTTTTATAATTAAATGAACTTCCATTAGCAATGTATACTTTGTACTACCTGGCGAAATATTAACTAGATTTATTCATTACAATCTGGATAAAACTATGTTTGCCTGATTCAATGTATGTTATGTAAATCCAAAGGACAAACAATGAGAGACTTATGCAACAAACGTACATTGTTTGTACCTAAATAACTATAATATAGATGAGAGCATGTCATTGTTTTGTTCCTGTTAACATTGTCATTGATATTTTTCAAGAAAGTCTATGAGGCATAGCTTATGCATTCCTGTCATTACTACATTAGCATAATTACTGCTAAAATAATTCTCAGTATGATATACCTCTTGTAAGAAATCATTATAATTGTAGCAATCACCAAAAAATCTCAAACAGATCACATTGAATCGTAATCCAAAAAATTATGACGTCTTGAATTACCCATCCCCTTTTATTCTAAAACGATAATTGCGGTTGTAAACAGACTTTGGTTTATTCGCATGGCGATTACATATATAACTATATAGTTCACAAAGAAAATAGAGTTTTACCATGAATAGTTTCCTGCACGTAGTCTTTTTCAGTAAAACGTGCCTTGCAAACAACAGCTGATTGAGATGGACTCCACGATATCATCGTGTTCAATCTGCGTATGGGCCATGGCGTTGATCCAACTTTTCCTTCTTTTTAAGTCATTTGGAAATGCATGTCCTCCTCTTAAATGACATCCAGGTACACAACAACAAGTACTTATCATCGTTAATTAAAAATATAACTGAAATAGTTGCACAGTGCAGAAACCGGAAGTAGAGGAACAGGATCCGCTACCACGGCGCCACCTATTCAGGAACGATAATTTGCTACTTTATATAACTGCGAAAATAACGTTAGACGGGTTCACGTGCATAAACAGAAATGCGCTTTAAATTGTATAATATAATTCATGTTCAGTCGACCTTTAATTATTATATCAACGACTGAAATGATTTATAAACATCTAGATTGCAGATAACACTCGAAATTAACCCGAGCTCTTTCCACACGGAATTCAAATAATTCTAGTTTGTCAATCGGTTGACTGCTTATAATGCAAAATACTAATATATCAAAAGTTTTTAAAACTAACAAAACACAATGATCGTTTCTCTATTTCCCAATGTAAATGAAATGAAACAAAAAAAAATTTTATATCGCAATAAGAAGAGGAGAGAATTCAACATTTCCGGATCTACTTGGTGTCTAATGACCCCCCACGTAGATAAGTTGGATATCGCGGAAGGAAGGATTAACCCGGCAACTAGAAAGGCATTAAAGCACTGCCTTTAAAAACTACAAAAATATTGCATGTACAGTTAATGAAGAAGTTATTTCATCAAATAGATAAGATTTTCACTCATGACACAAATCGACTGGGTGTCGTCGCCATCGGGGATAATTGATAAATGGGATTAAATTGACCGCCAAGATGGTGTAGAGAACCACCTCTGGAGAACCTTAACATTAATAAGTAATACTCACCAAAATGTCTTTATAATTAACGCTATTTTCTTTTGGAAAATTTCAGAAAGATGCTGATAAACTTACTTGGTGACACAGATTATTTTCTTGTAATGGCGCGAAATATATTCTTACTCTTAATGCTTGACGTAACAAAATTTGTATATAATTATATTTAACTAAAGCTCAGCGTAAATTTGCAGAAGCATGACAAAACATTGATAATAAAATGTGTAAATATTTCTGTAAAAGAACATAATTTTACTTTACCAGTATACTTCACTTAGAATTACATTTGAGCGCAAGAAAATCTCTATGTGAATCGGCTCGGGGTCGAAGTTCAACATTTCAACGGAAATTTTTGCGTCTGCTTGCGTTGCTTTAGATCGAGGCCACAGCTTTTCAACCAATCGGGGAATGTTTACTTGGGGCATACATCTATTTTTACTGCAGGTTTCGACATGTTTAAATCGGGATTATAGAAAAATGGAATGTTGTTGGTAGATACAGAACAGAAAATGATGAACACTTTTAGCAAAAGATCAATTGGATCGGGGGTCTGTGAATTCACATTATTTGTACAACTCTCCTTACTCTTGGGAAGCGTGTGCTTTACATCGAGGCTTGCGTTGCTTTACATCGAGGCTTTCGTTGCTTTACATCGACGCCATAGTAGTTCAACCAATCGGGGAATGTTTATTTGGGGCATACATCTATTTTTACTGCAGGTTTTGGCATATTTTAATCGAAATTAGAGAAAAATGGAATGATGTTAGGAGATATAAAACAGAAAATGATAAATATTTTTAGCAAAAGATGAATTGGATCGGGGTTCTGTGTATTCACATTATTTGTACAACTCTCCTTACTGATGGCAAAAAATGGAATTTCCGTGACCTAAATGGTTCGCGAAAAATAATATTTTTATATATATATAGTAACTATTAAACTACAACAAGTCTTTATTATTTTGTGCAATAATAAGCTTGAAAAGTCATATTACCCAGTATTGCCCAGTATTACCCGTTTCTAGGAGTATTGCCCACCCCGGGAAAAACGGGACCAGGGTTTTACCGCCCGGGTAATACTTTGCCAACCCTGTAACATGGCGATCATTGTGATTTCCTATATTATTTTATCATAATCAATGTTTTTATTAAAAGTCACCAATATGTGCTAATATTAAAATTTCGAGTGTTATTCGGTTAAAAACGGTGTCATTCCTGTTACCCTTGACTTGCTTCCGTTTTTGCCAATCTTTGACTGATTTTCGGGTTTACATGCATGTCATGGATACAGTCAAATGGTTTTTCGTGAAAAGTATAGCACTAGCATCTTCCTAAAAATGTGCATGATTATATTTATGAAAAAGTATTTATCACTTTCCCTAATAAATATTGCCGGAATGGCTTTGAGTGGTATCCCGTCTATGGGAACGATTCACAATGTGGGGTACTAGCTCTTTATTCACACACAAGTCGGCAGTTCAATACAATAAACATAAACAAATTGGTAAAGTCCAAATTCATTTAATAAAGTCCAAATATAAAATATCAGTGTTACAAATTAGTTATTTTAAGCCAAAAACAATATATATGATTGCGATGGAAAATCCGAACGCAGTTCATGTGCTCTCGTTGGCATATCCAAACGGAGTCCCTGAATATCAATTTATCTTTCTTTAAATACCAAATAAAGTTGCTATAACAACACAGTTTGTTGGGGTCATGTTGTAAACAGAAATTATATAATTAAGTGATTTAATTCATCAAAGAGAATTACGATAGGTGATCAATCCATCAATCAATTGAATTATGTGTGTATTTGATATGACCGAATAAAAGTTGCATAACGAACTTGCAAGATGTTTGCATAAGCTTAGAGTTTAAAAGGTTATTGACAAATATAAATTTATAATCTTACATGTTTCAGATGTTTACAAATATTTCGGACATTTAAAGTCATAGCGAATTTCGAGATCGTTACAATTGAATAAATAAAATATGCATGCTGCATACGAAATGTACACAATAGAAATCGATATAATAAGACAGTTTGAAATAGAAAATTAAGTACCAAAATACTGTGTGACATATTTACCTTTCATTGCGCTTTCCAAGTACAATAAATTGGTACGTAATCCATCAAAACGAAACACTTTCGTTGTGTTGACTTTCTAATATTGTTTCGTTCCCCGGATTCTTCCAGTTAATCGACAATGTAACCCATTTCAATATATCTGTTTATAATAACTTTTTGACCCATCAGTTTGAAAAACCAAAGGTCTTTGTATCAACTATCTGACTATCTTTGTCCATTCCTTTTAAGATCTTTTAAACAGTAAAACTTGAATTCAGCGGCAGACGAGCGTCCATGGATTTTGCGTCATAGTATGAAAACGGCAACGGTGAAAAGTTTTCCGGGTTTCCGTATTCGACGTGCCAAGCTTGCGTACATTTACGTATATATAATATATGAGAGTTAGTCTGGTATCAAATATGGGGATTTAAATAAGGACAAAAAAAATTAGATAGTTGGAAAGCAAAAATATAGAATGAAGGATCATAGAGAATAATTGAGTATATTTAAATTATGAAGAATCATGCAACATTATTCTCAGAGCATATCTGGGACTAGTATAATAGTCCCAGAGCATATAGCTGTCTCTGGAAGAATTGAGAATAAAGAAAAACTAAATAAAGAATATTCAATCATTTATATATTATTTATAACTCATTCACATTTTGTTCCATTCAGAATTAAATAACTCAGTCACTCTGCTGAGGCCGGGGAGCATGGGAAGTTGGAAAAATTGACAAACGAGAATTACTGTAATCAGAGAAGAATTAAATGTTAGACAGTTAGAGTGTAATAAATAAAATATTAACATATATTTTTCAAAATGTTGTCACAGAAAACACAGATTTTTTTTATTACTAATAAGATTCTGCAATTTGAGTATCTATGTCCAACAGATGTCAGTGACTGATTACTAGAAATTTTACTAATCTGATAGACGTTTAGTTAAGAATCTGTGACAGTTATTTTGTAATATTATTAGGAAATTGCCTACCGCCTCCTTGATTTAGAATTGCATACTCTTCAAGGTTGCATGCATTTTGGAGGTTCGTGTTGCACATAGAGGCGGATTTAGAGCACCCTGCCCCTCCCCTTTTTGTGGGAAAAACTTTTGATTTATTATATCGGGAATCAATGAAGCATGACTAGGGAGGCCCCCTCTTTAGCAGTCAGTGGGCCCCCTTATGAAAATTTCTGGATCCGTCACTGGCACAATCTTTAGTTTTTGTGTAATATTAAGCCCAACGGTTACTGTTGTTTTTATCTTTCATTCTTGTAACTTTTCTCATTTTATTGGATTTATGGTTATAAATTACCACTTTAATTGGTATCCTCTTTCGATTTCACGGTTAACAACATACCCACAGCTAAAGCCATGTACTGTAAAAAAAATCATCTTCCCGAAAAATAGTTTTATTTTCACCTGCAGGCCGGAGATTTCTGTCCAGAATTTCATACTAAGGTTGTTTGGGTATCACAGTTTAAAAATGTTATCACCGTTGATCCAATAAACAAATCCTTGGTTGATCTATTCTTAAACGACTTCTTTCCAGTAGTACACTCACAATGGTATTAATGACATTAATGCCTCCAACCTGGGACTATTAATTTATCGAGACTATTATACTTAGTATAAAATAGTATAATAGTCCCAGCTCCAACATTGATATTTATGTTCCCCTTATAAATAGAATAGAGAAATTGAGGACATTTGTTCCACATTTTATGAACTTTGAAAGAACACAAGCACGTGTAACTTTTGACACCACGTGCAGGCAAGTGCCTGCAGGACACTGAGGTGGTGGTAAGTTTATAACAGTAAACCAGAGGCGGATTTAGAGGGTTTTTCAGGGGGCCCGGGCCCCCTTTTGTGGGAAAAGTTTGGTTGATTATATAGGGAATCACTGAAGCATGACTGGAGCGGGGCCCCTCTTAGGCAGTCAGCAGTGGCTGATCCAGAACTTTTCATAAGGGGGGGCCCGCTCCAGTCATGCTTCAGTGATTCCCTATATAATCAACCAAATTTTTACCAAGAAAGGGGGGCCCGGGCCCCCCAGGCCCC